ACGGAGCCGTGCTGCTGGATCCAGCTCTGTGTTGCCTAAAACTGGTAGCCAGCTCCGTGCTAAACGGAGAGAAGACATTGTTTGTTAATGTAAGAAGACATTATTTTCCTTCTCAGCTCCAAATAGAAAGAACAAACGAAACTAAATTTTCAAATCTTCCTGATATGCTTTAACTTACAAAGTCTACCAAGGCAGTTTCAAATTATTTAGTTTAATTTAACAAATTTAAATTTAAAATAATATATATGGTATAATCTGTACTCAAAGTGTAGTAGTGAAGATTACAAAGTCTATTTTTAAAAAAAATATCAATTTACGGCCAGCTCCGTGCAGAACGGAGCTGGACTGTCCAGCTCCGTTCTGGACGGAGCTAGGATCGAGCTTCATTCTGCACGGACCTGGACTGTCCAATTTCATGCAGAATGGAGCTGGCTCCCAGTTCCATCTAGAACGGAGCTGGACAGTCCAGCTCCATGCAGAATGGAGCTGGCTCCCAGTTCCGTCCAAAACAGAGCTGGTAGTAGCTCCTTGCGCGAAACCATACAGGGGGCTGATCATCTGCTTTGACTATATTTCCCTTCGATCATAAACCATTTGCAATAATTATATATGAATGTATAATTGATTACTTATGACATGCAACTCATGATTTTTCTTAAACGTATTTAATATGAAATGTAATCTTAGTAAATAGAATTATATAAATACGGATTGCTAAACATTAAAAATTTTCGCAGTATTAATTGTCACACAAAACATGTTATACAAAAACTTATTACAACTTGCGTGATTAGGAAAGCATATTAAGCAAATATTAATGACATGCGACTTCGCAAAATTAGCACGTAACATCTAAATCACCCTTCAACAGTAACCTTCAAAATCTTATCACAAAGTTCCAATTGTTTAGCAAGCCTTTCAAGGCTTCTCCTGCTTTATAATCCTTCGGCTCTTGTTGCTTGAGAATTGCGTGGATGAGTATATGTCCAACGTTCTCTTAGCTTTGTTATTGGTTTCGATCTCGTCCAAGGAAAGTGGCTTTTGCTGGGTCTTTGTCGGGTGTTAACCTCATTATCAGAGGTAGAACCCTATTGTGAAACAGAAAAAGGCATCAAAAGAAAAACCAACAATCTTTAAAATTAGTAAAACATAATCTAAAAAGGATTCACAAGTGTAATACATTTAGTTCCTCTTCGTTCCCATTCTTATCGGACTTCAAAAACATATCAGAACCCTACAATATGAGAATTATATTGAGTCAACTACATCAATATACTATGTTATGGAAATGAACAAAAGCTATGTAGTTGAGCTAAATAAATCATGTAATTAATTTAACTAATCTGGCTTTCTTCGTTTGGAAACATGACATACTTGGATATTAAAGAATCATCAACGGTTAACCTCATCACAGTAAAAGCTATATAGTTAAGCTAAATAAACCATGTAATTAATTTAACTAACCTGGCTTTCTACATTCGGAAATATAACATACTTCGATATTAAAGAATCATCAGCAGTTAACCTCATCACAGTAAATATATCACTGCGCTGCTCGATGTTTTGTTGCTTAACTTGAACTTTAAATAGTATCTTCCTGTCGACCAATGCTTCGATATCGTTTGGGTAAGACAAATCTTCCGAACTCTACTAGTAGGTGAAATCTCTCTCGAGTGATATGTAATTACATTTACTTATAAAATCATTATAGTAGTCATAGTAAATATGCTATAACTTACCTGAACCATAACCTCATTTAGAGTAGAAGCAGTCTTCCCTATCAGTTGTATGCATTTACGATCCCACATCAGAAAAGATGCACTACACGTTCCATCATTACCCTCAATTGAACCGTAAACCTTAAATGAAAAAAAAAATTGTTAACTACATTTTATGCAATGATTATTCACATAAGAAGAAGTTAACGATTATTCACCTAAGAATTCCATTAGCGCTGAAAGTATCACACTTCTCACAATGGAATCTGATCTCTACAAGGTTAATCTTTTTCAGGCACTTCTTACATGATAGGTAACACCAATTCCGATTATTCTCAACAGCCACAATAGTAGCATAAATCCAACAATAACCAACCTAATACATCCAAAAAATATTATTTCCACAAAATTATATAATCCTTAGCAATGATTGTATTATATATCATATTATATACATCATATACTTGTCTGCAAATATTACCTCAGACGAATCCAGTAGCATATCAATATTCTTGACATCGCAACATCCACCTACTAAGTCATCGACACATCATAAACAGAACTCGAGGAAATTCATTGACATATGTCTTCATCATGAAATTACAAACGGAATAAAATCATTAATATGGTATGAAAAGCTACTATCTTCAACTTCATTGACGTATGTCTTCATCATGAAATTCAACTTGTATCTGTGACTCGAAGTTTTGTACTTTGAATTGTTGTAACCAATGACAAAGTCATGCATAAAATATAAAAGTCCTTTACGGATTTTGGGTTTGAATGTCTTGATCAAGTTGTGTTTAACCGATGCATGAATTCTAGTACCCTAGTATCACATATTCCACATCAAATTCATTAATAATATACATAAATTAGGATTAAACAGTTAATATTAAATAAATAGACTAATAATCTTATAAAATAGACTAATATTTCATTACTAATCACCATCGTTATCTCATTAAGAAAGTGGATGGAGAGCTTTTAATGGAGTCTTGAAAGCTCTATTAATGGCAAAAGGGAAGCATGGTTTTGTATATTATAATACTGATGAATTCTTTTTATTTTTTCTCTTTCTTTTCAAATGCAAATACAAATAACGTTCAGAATCAAATGCAAATACAAATTACTTTCAGAATGAAGAATAAATTGCAATTCATATACTTACATCTCTGTCGATCAATACCATTTCCAAGCTGTAAATGTCATTGGGCTTTCCAAATGTATGATTTTCCCAAAGTCTAACAACGCGAACACNTCAGAGTCGAACAACGCGAACATGGAATGCCCACTTGGGTTTGGTGGGAACGATGTCTGTGAGCATATCTATGATGACAGCCATCCTACTGCAAATAAAAATAAGAAACGAAGCTAAATTTTCAAATCTAAAAACAGAATGCTTTAACTTAGAAATTTAAATTTAAATTATATATTATATATATGGTATAATCTGTACTTAAACTATCGCATTTTTTTTCCATTTGAAGATTACAAAGTCTAGTGTAAAAAAAAAAATTAAATGTTACGGCCAGCTCCGTGCTGCACAGAGACAGCACGGTATTGCCTCCGTGCAGAATGGAGCTGCCCAGCTGCGTTCTGGACGGAGCGGACTGTCCAGCTTCGCGCAGAACGGAGCTGGACTGTCTAGCTCCGTGCGCGAAACCAGCTTGAGATTTTTTTTCCCTTCCTTTATGAAATAATCTTAGTAAATAGAAATTAAAAATTTTTTTGTATATGGATTGCCAAAACAAAAAAAAATGAATAAAAAAAGTTAATAGAACGCCTATCGCTTACCTGATGTTGAGAATGAATGGAAAAGAGTGAGAGGGCGGTACCTGAAGTTGAACTTGAGAGAGTGAATGGAAAAGAGTAAGAGTTAAAGATGGAAAAGGGTGAGAGTTGAAAATGTGCACAGGAAAAATTGAATTCAAAATGTATATTGTTTCGCTTTTTTTCATTCTATCAATCAAAAGTCAAAGTCAGGTGATAGCGGCGGGAACACTGTTGCAGTTAAAGTGGTGGGAATATTGTTGCTGGTCAGTGAGATGTAAAAATTTATATTAAGTGACAAACAATTCTAATGACAAACATAAGCTAAAATGGATTCAGTTGATTGTTGTTTTGGATACCTAAAATTGTGCATGAACGTTTCAATCGTATGACTGTCATTTTTCTAATTCAATGTTCAATTCGCATCACTTTCGTTCATTCAACCCCCATAAGTCGAGAACTTGTGACCCAAAATGGCATGTTGCTGTTTTAAACGCGTACTGATGTTTCTACTAATTTAATGTTCAGTTCTACTGATTAAGTTGAATGTTGTTTTGTATTCCAAAATGGCGCATGAACGTTTTAATCGTATGACTGCCATTTTTCCAATTCAGTGTTCAATCGCATCACTTTCGTTCATTCAGCCCCCACAATTCGAGACCTTGTGACCCAAAATGGCACGTCGTTGTAAACGCATAGCTAACGTTTCTACGCATTTAGTGTTCAGTTCTACTGATTCAGTCGATTGTTGTTTTGGATACCTAAAATGGTGTACGGACGTTTTAATCGTATGACCGCCATTTTTCTAATTCAGTATTCAATTCGCATGACTTTCGTTCATTCAGCCCCCACAAGTCGAGACCTTGTGACCCAAAACGGCATGTCGTCATTTTAAACGCATAGTTGACGTTTCTACGAATTTAGTGTTCAGTTCTACTGATTCAGTTGATTGTTGTTTTGGATATCTAAAATGAAGCATGGACGTTTTAATCGTATGACTACCATTTTAAACGCATAGTGACGTTTCTACGAATTTAGTGTTCAGTTCTACTGATTCAGCTGATTGTTGTTTTGGATATCTAAAATGGAGTATGGACGTTTTAATCGTATGACTGCCATTTTTCTAATTCAGTATTCAATTCGCATCACTTTCGTTCATTCAGCCCCCATAAGTCGAGAACTTGTGACCCAAAATGGCATGTTGCCGTTTTAAATGGATAGCTGGCGTTTCTACGAATTTAGTATTTAGTTTTACTAATTAAGCTGAATGTTGTTTTGTATACCTACAATGACGCATGGACGTTTTAATCGTATGACTGTAATTTTTCTAATTCAGTGTTCAATTCGCATCACTTTCGTTCATTCAACCCCCACAAGTCGAGACCTTGTGACCCAAAATGACACTTTGTCGTAGTAAACGCATTGCTAATGTTTCTACGCATTTAGTATTCAATTATACTGATTCAACTGATTGTTGTTTTGGATACCTAAACTGGTGCAAGTAATAAGTAATATATCAATTTATAGTAAATCTATGTTCTAAAAGAGTGAGAATTGAAAATGTGCAAAGGAAAAATTGAATTCAAAATGTATATTATTTTTCTTTTTTCATTCTATCAATCAAAAGTCAAGTGATAGCGGCGGGAACACTGTTGCAGTTAAACTGGCGAGAATACTGTTGCTGCAGGTATCCTTCTTTAATATAGTATTAGATATATTATTTGAAAGAAATAGTTAGATTAAATAAAATGTCAAATTAGTGAAAAAGTGTGAAAATTTTGTGGGGTCCACGATTATTAAAAAATCTATGAATTATGATTGAGTATCACGAGCTTCTTTGATTAAAATAATATTTTTAATTATTTTAATCAGTTTCGAATTTTTTTATTGTATAAAACTAGCCAATTTGTTATTGTGGAAAAATTTCATACCTTTCATTTTTTGACATTTTCATCCTTATTTCCACATTTCATTGGACAAAATGTCATTTTTATTCATTTTCTCAATTAAAAGTTGTGAAACGAAGAAAATACCATTTCCTTTAAATAAAACAAAAGGAAAAAAATTAATTGCAATTATAGTCTCATTTTTTTTGAAAAGTGTAAATGAGTCCCAAATAAATTATTAAAAGGGTAATTAGTACATAATGTCCTTATCTTTCATCTTTATTGCAAAAAATGTCACTTTTTTTTTGGTATTTTCACCCTTAATTACACATTTGATTGTGTAAACCATCACTTTCATCTATTTTCATCCAATTTCTTAACAAAGAATTGTGAAACAATGAATTTACCCTCATATTTAAATAATTTTTTTAAATTTCTAATTCTTTAATAATTTATTTGGGACTCGTTTGCACTTTTTTTATTTTTTAAATTTTTAAGTAAATTCAATTGAGATTCCTTTGCACTTTTTTAAAAAAAATTGGGAATATGATTGCAATTAAGTTTTAAATTTTTTTTGTTTAAATATGAGGGTATATTTGTCGTTTCACTATTTTTTATTGATAAATTAGATGAAAATGAATAGTAATGATAGTTTGTGCTATCAAATGTATAATTAAGGGAGAAAGTTTAAAAAAAAGGTAGGGACTTTTTTTGCAATAATAGTGAAAAGTAGCGACATTATGTACTAATTACTCTTTTAATTATGTGGGACTCATTTGAGCGTTTCAAAAAAGTTGTGACTATGTTTGCAATTAATTTTTTTCTTTTCCTTTTGTTTTATTTAAAGGGAATGATATTTTCGTCATTTTATAATTTTTAATTGAGAAAATAGATAAAAATGACATTTTGTGCAATGAAATATCGAAATAATGGTGAAAATGCCAAAAAATGAAATATAAGGACGTTTTCCACAATAACAGTAAAATGTGAGGACGTTGTGTGCTAATTACCTAATAAAATAGCTATTGGGTTGTCACTGATTGATATTAACAACCCATAAAATTTGCAATTATTGGAGACAATGTAGACACTTCTACTCTAACTTATGATGGAGACAATATGGGTGTATTTGATGGATATTATTAAGAAAATAATGTATTTTAAATAGTGATATGATAGAAAATACAATGTTAAAATGTAAGGAAAAATTATTGATGTGATATAAAATATTATTTTATTGAAAAATATGTGATTGAAAATGTATTTTGAAATAATGTGCATCAAACAGGGACATAGGCGCATGTCTACTCTTTTAAAAACACATAAAAATTATCATTTTTGTATTCTGTGATTTTTCATATTCTAATATTGCATTTAATTTTCTTTTTCTGAAGTATACTTTAGATTTCCGAAATCCGTGATTACTGCATAAGCGATTTGATCGTTGTATCATGTGAATAATTATCCAAAAAGGTCGCAGTAGTTAACGATAGACAATTTCACTTTAGGACATCGTACTCTCACGAGACTTGATCAATCGATAAATTTGCCTTTCTGCATTTTACTGTTCGATAAGTTACTGCAATTAATTATTTTCTAAAAATGTAAAATGGAATTACTTTAATTAGTTGCAATGTTCGCAATAGAAACACATCTTCCTAAAGATTCTGAAAAACTAGAATTATTTGATATATAAATGTTGATTTTTTAATCAATATGAGATGAGTTTTCTCGTCTGCATATTTTTCCTTCCTATCTTATTATAATTTTCTTGTTTCCACTTTCCACAACCTCTTGCACAAGGGACGTGGTATTCATAATAAAATAATTGAAAAGACTGTCAAAAACAACCGGAGGGTGTCACATGAAACGTGTTGAAAAATACTTTAAAATCGCATTACTACCGACCTATTCTCCATTTCCTTCTCCAACCACCGAAATACAAGCGTGCATCCATGGAGTCTTTCAATATCTTCAAGGGCTATGACAAAGTAAAACCCTCAGAAGATCCAAATTCTTTACCTAATCAACCAAAAACCATACCCAAAAAGCGTCGCAAAATCATAGCCATCACTTTAACAATTGTATTGACCCTAATAATCGGCTCTTTCGTTGGTGCCGTCATCTATGAGTCAGTCACCGAGCCACCCGAGTCCGAAGAACTCGCCTCCAACTCCGTCGAGTCACTCAAAACTGTCTGCGCCGTGACTCGTTACCCCAACTCTTGCTTCTCCTCCATTTCTTCCTTAAACAAGCCACTCACTGCGAATCCTTTGAACTTCTTCAACCTTTCTCTTCAAGCCACGGTGCGAGAACTCTCGAACCTAAATTCTCTTCCCAAAGAATTGATCTCGAAGTCAAACGACAAGCCGACTGAGTCGGCGTTGAAGGATTGCATCAGTTTGTTCGACGAGGCGCTGAATCGACTCAATAGATCGTTCGAGTTGATGAAGGTGGGCCCGGGGGAGAAGGTGTTGACCGAGATGAAGATCAGTGACATTCAGACGTGGATTAGTGCCGCCATGACTGATCAGGATACTTGCCTGGAAGGGATCGGTGAGATGAGGTCAACAGTTCCGAATGAATTTAAGGTGAAGGTGCAAAAATCCCAGGAGTGCATGAGCAACAGCTTAGCAATTCTCAATAATATCCAAAGCCTATTCGATAAGTTTGGCCTCGCGATGCCTTGATTCCTTCAACACGTTTGAGTAGACTCTGCGGCCTGCGCCATGTTTTTTCTTTTTCTTTTTTTCTTACATTTGTACAATGATTGTAGGGTTTCAAATGTTGTATGTTTAGGCAAATTATATGCTGCTTTTCAAATATTGATTTTAATTATAACCTCACAATTATTATTCACATATTTTTTGAGATTGTATCACTCTCATCAAACATTCGTTTAAATGTCATTTCTTATGCAGAATCCCAATTTGTACGAAGAGCCTAGGGAGACATCGTTCACGATGCAATAAGCAATATTTAAATAACCTAACATTGTTGATGACATTTTAGTTCTAACAAAAAATGGATAAAAATCGTCAAGACGCTACAAAACTAAAAGGTAAGGTAAGAGTTGGTGCTGTCAAAGTAATAGGTTGGGGATTAAGCAATTTGATCATAGCAGAAAAAGAAAGAGATTGATTGGAAGGAAATAAAAAGAAACAAAGAGATGTCAGTTTTTAGATGGTCAAATTCAAGAAACATTAAACATGATAGTGGAGATTTATTTAATAGAAGCATTGTTTATTCCTTTTGACACGTGTCGGACTCTTTCCATGGAGGACCTTAGGGTTTCTAACTAGGCACAAGGTATTACCAACACTTGAACAATTAAGAGCATGTTCGATCGTGCTTAAAATTCACTTAAAATTGAAAATATAGTCGTTAATGGGTCACACTCGTCTAATAAAAGTCAATAATAACGACTAATTTTTCAATTTTAATCTCTACCGAACACACCCTAAGTCTTCTTACCAAAAGCAAGAGATTATACCATCTCATGCTCCCTCTTCGCATGTATTCGGTTTCAGGATCCTACTTTGACAAGAAAATCATAAGCTAAAATCCAAGTTCATCCAACATCACACAAGTTTAAAATTATAAAATTCCAAGAAAAATACCCATTAAATATAAGGGAATAAATATAACTCTCAGACATTTTTGGCAGTATCACTGAACCAAAATATAAATTTACCAATATTCGACCACTAAACAACAGATATAGGTGTAAAAATCATATATTTTTGCATTTCACATAACCAAACTATAAATATACAAATTTTCTATCACTACCCTGTTGAAACAGGTTTAAAATTATCTTTCATCAATAAAAGATGTTGATTAAAAGCTAACATTCGAGCTCAGAGCACGAGGAATCAAATAATATAATACAATTAAGCGGCAGAACTTGTGCTTAATTGAATTGCAAAGGTGCACATCAGTAAACTCATGGAGTCCAAACATCCTGTTGTAAAACAAACAAGACACCAGATAACTCTAATACCACTTGTTGTGAAACTAACCATCAGATTGAGATGTTAAAGTTATGTGACACAATAATGAAGTATTTGAACAAAAGCAAAAGAGTAAAAGAAGAAAAGAAAATATGGTAGAGGAATTAGAAGATTTTATTGCACCACAAATAATGAAGATGAAGAAGTATTATAATGATCCTAAAAATTAGTAATCAATTTTTTCACACTTATAAAATTGTATAAAAGAGTTTAATATTTATAGGGAACATGTTGGGGACGTCCAAATCCTCTTAGTAGAATTGTTGATGAAGTAGGATGCCAAAAAATTGAGTCCAAAATGAAGTAGGAGAAAAAAGCGCGAAAAAAGGGATCAGAACAGGTGGGAGCCGCGCCCACCTTCAGGTGCATTGCCTGGGTCGGTGCTGTGGGAATTTTTTGCTCCAAGTTGTTTTCTCCATCCCGAACTCTTCTTCAAATCGAATATCAATTTGAAACTCCCAATGAGCTTCCAAAATAGAATTTCAACGTCACATAGGCTTCAATAACATTCCAAACTTGAATTCTCCTTGACATACACTTCAATTAGAATTCTTCAATATTTCAAACACTCCAACAAAGAAAATTGGGTCACACCCAAATTCCAACACATTCCGATCTCAAATATCCAAAAAACCAAATAATTAGAAGATAAAGACTATTTAAATCAGTATTGAAAGCTCCAACTAATCAATTAATAGAATTTCGAAATCTAATTATAATCCAGAATCTAAAAATTTTCCAATTTAAATAATAATTATAAGCAAAAAATGCGTGCACAGAATTATTGACCCGATTGAAGATCTAGCCGACGAAGAGTAGAACCGAATAATATAGAGCCACCGACTAGAGAGGGCATAAGAACAGAATTAAGCCCTTGTTTGAGTTTTTTATGGTCTAGATTTTTGGTTCTTCTTGGTTCAGTTGTGTGGTAAATGAGAGAGGATAAGGGTTTTGTACGCGGGTAGAGATGAGAGAGAGCTAGGGTAACGTGTGTAGGTAGAATAGTTGATAAACTAGAATTTTTGGAAAGATTGAATTCCATGGAAAATAAAATTCACTCCGCTCCAAAAAAATGGTTTTTCGTGTTTTCGAAAAAAATATGGTCACGTGATCAAAAGTAGAAAAATATTTTTCATGGAAATAAATTTCAATCAAACAGTACAAAAATATAAATTTGGGAGGGAAAATGGCATTTTCCATAAAAAAATGTTGGTAATCAAACACACCCTAATAGAATTGTAACCGTAAAAATGACTCGAATTAAACTCTTACAAATCGAATTGGGCCTTTATACATTGTTGATTGTTATTAGGTTTCATTGGATACTTCTTGGGCCCTTTTCCTAAGCTTAATCAGTCTTAGGCCTGTGCACTATAATGGCCAACTGATATTAGCTATCAATTTGATGGTGGAAAAAATTACATAAAACCTTCTTTTCAAGATTACAATTTAAAAATAAGGGGATAAAGTTTACAACTAAAAAATCAGGTGGTAAATATGATTATTAATTGTAATTAATAAAATTTTAAAATTAACTGTGTATAAATGTTAGAGAAAATTACCTTAAACCCTAGTTTTTAAGTTAACATTTCAAAAATAAGGGGAGAAGGTTTAAATTTCAAAATTCAGGTGATAACTATGATTATTAATTGTAATTAATAAAATTTTAAATCTACATATTTCATCACCCCACCCCCACCCCCACCCCCACCCCCCACTCGCAATTCATTCTCAAACCCAGAAAGCCTTCTTTCTTCTCTCTATATCTTTACTTTCTCTCACCACTTACCCCACACTCACTAGTGTCTCTTCAATCGCAGTAAATTCTAATTCGCTTGTTAGGGTTTTAGATCGTCAAATTAAGCGCCAAATTTTAGTGCAGCGTGTTGTTATCGTAATTGAATTCCGTCTGAGAGGCATCAGTGGCGTAGAATTTAAGGGTGTTGGGGCGGAAAACAAGCCAGAAGATCAAAACAATTATGCCAACAATAAAGAGAATGGTGAAAACGATTTGGCATAAGCAGGTACAAATACAATTGGCTATGCAACTACAGCAGCAACTGAAGGGGTTGCAGCAGCAGCCACCGCCGCCGCGGCCTGGGCGGTGGTAAGACTTGGACGGCGGTGGAATTGAAGGGCCGTAATAGGCTCCGTTAAGTTGTGGCTGTCTGGTCTCTCCCATTGTACAGAAAGAAGAATTTGTATAAGGGTTGAGATTTGTGGGTATAATGATATGAGAGAACAAGTGGGATAAGAAGTGTATATATAGAGAAATGGGAATGGGAAAGGGTGAATTGGTAAGAAACGGCGCCGTAGTGTAGCAGAAATAGGACGCGGAAAGTGACTAACTTTTGTGAGGGTTTAGACGAGTGAATTGGATTGGATACAAGGGGACGCGGTTGCTTCAACAAATTTGAATGGACACGTANAATTGTAGTTATAATACTTTGGCGTGAATGTGTTGTTGCAATATTTCGTAGCATAATCCGTAATTGTATACCACCACATTTTGTCTATGTTTGAGCGAAGTTGGTCTTCCTGATTTTCTTGATGGTGTTGGTCGTAAATATGAGTTGAAGGTATTAGTGGTGCATTGGAGGTGATGGTGGTAATGGCTGGTGGTAGATTATGGTGCTTGTTCGTGGTGTAAGCAGATTTGTTTGTGGTGACCATTTGTGACCAAGTATTTGTTTATTGTGACTGGTTGTGACCAATTCTGTGTTAATTGTGACTGATTGTGACTGATCACATACCGTCACAATTAAGATTGACTTTGTCACAAACAGTCACACCAAATACAAATTTGGTCATAATTAATCACGGATGACACGTCAGTGATTTGATATTTTTAATTTTTGAAATTTGTTTGCAAGGTGGGGTGTGGTAGGTGGATTTATGGCTTGGGGGTGTGATTTTCAGTTTTTAATTTTTGAAATTGTTTTGGAAGATAAGGCAAGGTGGGGTGGGGTGGGGTGGGGTGATTTTCAGATTTGAATTTCTGTGAAATTTTTGGAGGGGTGGCCGTGTGGGATGAGGTAGGGATAATTAGTTATATATTATATATATTTAATTGGAATTAACACCTGAATTTTGAAATAATTTAACAAGTTTGTTAATTTTGAAATATGATTTTAATATGTAAGATTTATGTATTGTTTCCTTGATGGTGTCACTTATACAGTCCTGATTTATGTGGAATTTTTTTAGTGGGCAATTTTGGGCCTTTTATCTATCTATCGGTTTTGTTGAAAGAAACAAGAGGAAATTAGGTTCACTGTCCCAAAATATAAGATACTTGATGAATACCCTCAAAATTAAGAGGTACTTACACAAATACCCTATATTTTGGGGTGGTTTTGAAAAGACATGATAAATTTGGATTAAATGACAAATAGTTAAAACTGAATGTATAATTCACGTTCAAACCTAACGCATGGCAGTTTTTAAAAAATCATCCCTCCAAGCTCCAAAAATCAAAGGAAAATTGAAAGGAAAAAAAATCTTCCACAGATCAAGCACAAACAAGATCAAGGTTACTTTAACTGCCATTCTTCAAAATTTTCTTACCCGAATCTGGAAATACCCAAACACAAATTACATAATTTTTATGTTTTGGATTTTCTGTTTAATTAGTTTCCCAATTATGTCATTTTGCATAGATTATGAAAACAACAACCGTAAATATCAATTTCGAGCTGAATAAACTCCCACTTTCAAATTCTAATAATCTTAGTGCATTATTTATGTCACTGTTCTTTGAAATTCCTCATTAGGTTTAGTTTGAACCTTATAATGTAAATTATTGATATTTATGAAGTTTCTTTTTAATGGTTTTGCTAGTGTGATTAGAAAAGTATTTAATAATATTTTTGATTTTGAGAGGAAAATAGATTGAATTGATGCATATAAAAAAAGAAAACTTTGAATCAATTCGATTGATGCATGCAAGGTATTTGCAAAAATGAGAATGTAAAAAATTGACATTCTATCACTTTTATTTAAAAAAGTCACGGTATTTTATTGGAGCAATTAGCTAAATGCATACATGTGTGTTTTTGAAAATTTAAATATATGATTTCAAACTTTGTTTTTCATTAATACGTATGAAAAATCAACTTTGAATCAATTCAATTAATGAATGCAAGGTGTTTGAAAAAAAAAAAAAAGGCGGAGATTGTGAAAAAGTGACATAATGTCACTTTTATATAAAAAAAATCGCAGTATCTCATTAAAGCAATTAGTTAGATGTATGTGTGTGCGTTTTTGAAAATTTAATTATATGATTTCAAACCTTGCTTACGTTAGTACACATAAAAAATTAACTTTAAATTAATTCAATTAATACATGCAAGGTGTTTCCTCTTGTGGGCAACTTATAAAAATACATTTAAAATCATGAGCCTTATGATAAATCATATGGAAAGTTTTTTTTTATTTTTTTAAAAGTAAAATATACTTTGTAAAAGTAAACTTTTTTATAAAAATCAAAACGTGACATACAATGTCACCTTTTAATAATAATAAAAAAAGTGACGGATATTAAAAAAAAGTGATAAACACCAATCAAATCTTAAAATAGATCTAGAGGTAATTGATTTTCTTCTAGATGTTGTCTCTTTGTAATTATGCTTCAATTATATTAACTAAACATAAAACAATACTTCATTTTAGGAACACAACATTTTATAAGTTGGAAGTGGCAGAAATTAAAAAAAGTGATGAAAATTAAAAAAATTTGACAAATACTTAAAAATGTGAACAGAAATTTAAAAAAATGACACAAAAAAAAAAAAAAAAAAGAGAGAGAGAGAGAGAGAGAGAGAGAGAGAGAGAGAGAGAGAGAGAGAGAGAGACGCCAACCAAAACCTTAGAATAGATTTAGGGGTAGTTAGTTTTCTTCTACATGTTATCTCTTTGTGATTACGCTTCATTTATACTAATTAAACATAAAATACAAATTCATTTTAGGAATACAACAACCTATAAGTTGGAAGTGATAGAAATTCAAAAAAGTGACGAAAATTTTAAAAATAACAAATACTAAAAAAAAGTGACACGAATTCAAAAAAGTGAGAAACACTAATTAAAATACAAAAATAAATCCAAGGATGGTTAATTTGCGTCTACATGTTGTATCTTTGTAATTATGTTTCACTTTTAATAGCCAAATATAAAACATTACCTCATTTTAAGAACACAACATTAACCTATAAATTGGAAGTGTTAAAAATTTTAAAAAAGTAACAGATTTACGTTCACTAAGTAACGTTTTTCAGTTACAATTCCAGGCAACTAACAGAGTGTTCATCCTTTTCAATCATACTTGAGAATACATATCAATCGGATGAACAGACGATAATGCTCATGTTCGACCCATTGTCACCATGGCCATTTTCAAATGGCCGTAAAATGAATCCCATTCCATTTTTTTAAATGAATCATGTTCAAGCTTGAAAATGATCCGGACTCAACTATATGAAAAATAAGTTTAAAAAATATTACATACAATTATAACTCACGATTTTCAATATAGCCAAATTATCCAATAAACTCACAACTGATGAACAAATTAAAAATTTTTGAACTAACAACTTGGACAATACAATCCTAACCACAAATTGTATAAACACTTATTACTGTTAACCAAATAATATCATTTCTGAAAGTGACAGCTTGTCATTTCTATATATATCATCTATATCAAATATTTTTCAAATATAATTTGCATATCGTGCTTGTTCATCACACGTATCTTCAATCTTTGCCTCATCAACAATTTGTGAGCTGAAAATCCAATAGCACCTATGCTACCATGAACTCTCCCTTCCTCTCCACCCACATAACTTCCCCTGTGGGTTTTTCAATTTGAGTCTTAAATTTATCATGCAGCAATTAAACACACAACATCTCCATTAACATGAAAATAAATGACCAAAATTATCAAATAACATCTCTAATAAGGAAATTGAAATTGAGAATGATTGATTCATGAGCACAATGATATACAACAATTTTGACAAAATCCAGAATCATAAATTGAATAACATAATCGAACAAGAAATCATATTTGACAATTCAAATCAAATTTAAATATTTAAAAACTAAGCCAGCAATTTAAGAATTTTAACCATAGACATAAGATACAAATTATACACCCAAAATGTAAATAAATACGAGTGCAACAATGGATGTCTTCACCTAAGAATTTGAAAATGTTAAGACTTTGGAATTCCATCTTAAAATGTCAACCTTATCAAGATGAGTAACCTCAATCCTTTTAAGTTGATCTATATTTTCATCTTTATTCGATGTGAGATTTTATCCCTTAACATGCTCTTACAAGATGGTAGCTCATTTGAGCAGACTAATCTTGAAATCTATGTACTCATTTTTTTCGAGTCTTACCAGATCAAATTGCTCATTGAAGGTTAATGTGCTCTGATACCATGTCACGACTTTGTGATTCCATCTTAAAATATCAATCTTATTAAGATGAGTAGACAAAAACCTTATAAATTTGTTTATATTTTCATCTTTATTCGATGTTAAATTTTATCCCTTAACAGAAACAATTACAGAAAAATCACAAGGTCCATAACTAATTTTTTTTTCAGATTAAATTATGAATTTATACTAGAAAAAGGAAAAAAGAAAAACTAGAACTCAATCTTTTTATTTTTTTTCAACTCAAAATACCTTAACCGGTCCTCTAATTCACGATTTCACAATGGATTCTAGTATACAAGTACGTTAATAGTTTAATATTCTCCCGTAGATAGATCCCATCTAGCTCTGCCCGCACTTACAAACTTTCCCAGGAAACTATGTATATCACGAACCAGGATTTGAGCTACACTGTAGGCAAGGTGAGACACAATATAATCAATTGTATACTGATGTTGGAGACTATTATGCTCCGGGACCAATCATTTAGGGCGAGCAAATTTGAAGGAACAGAGGTTGTCCACCAAATAGAGAATTGGGTGACTGAAAACTATAAACTCCAGTTATATTTTGTGACTAAATTGATTGAGAAGAATTTCTGGAGAATGTTTGATGTTGGTCTTTATGAGCATTGCAGGAGGAAGTATGAAGTCCTTGGTACCTTCATGAGCGAGGTAAGAAGACACAGAAAGAGGTGCACAAAGCTGAGCAGGCAGTTCTTGAGAGTCATTATCCTGA